AAAGTGATGTTCAGTGTGCCGCTATTCCGCGGTGACTATTAAACGATCTTTTATTTGACAGATTAAGCTCTCACTAACGATTGCAACCAGCGCTGTACATAGATTAAATCTGTGCGGTTGGATCGTTGTTCTATTTTTAGTTCCTTCTTCCAAATGCACTTGGATTGTTACTATCCGTTTGTTTATCGTTTACTGCAATAATTCTGCTTTCTCTCGGAAACTCGTCGTTGATTTGAGCCATGATTTAAGCTATGGATTGAGTATGTTATTGTCTGAATAAGCTGAGAAGCTTCATTCGTTTTAGGATGAACTAGATGAGCAAGAAGAAAAAAACTCACCTGAAGCGCAAGACAACTCTGCGGGAGTGGATCTGAGCAGAACATGCCCCTACTTAGACACGATTAATCGAAATATGCTTGACTTCGACTTTGAAAAGCTGTGCAGCATCTCTCTTAGTCACTTAAATGTTTACGCATGTTTGGTTTGCGGGAAGTATTTTCAGGCAAGCTTTTTGCACACCATTTTGGTGGTGCCCCAGTTTATCACGAATCTTAATGGCTTTTTGGATTTTCAGGGGCGCGGTTCTAACACACACGCTCATACTCATAGTGTTAACGAAAATCATCATGTATTTTTGAATCTGGAGACGCACCGATTCTACTGCCTACCTGATAACTATGAAATTGTGGATGGATCACTAGAGGATATTACTTACCTTCTGAATCCTATTTTTCAAAAAGATGACATCTCGAAGCTTGATACAAGTGCTAGTATGGTGCGAGCCTACAATGGTTTAACATACTATCCTGGATTTGTGGGTTTGAATAATATCAAGGTGAGAGTCTTTGTCCTTCACATGAAGTCCAAGTTAAGTGATAGTCTACAAGAAACGTAGTACGTAATGAAATGATCCCCTTTTAGGCCAATGATTACTGCAATGTAATTCTGCAATTGTTAAGTCACATCAGCCTTCTGCGTGACTTCTTCCTTCGGCCAGAAAACTATCAGGATCAAATCAAACGAGCTGCAGCTGGAGATCATATGACCCTTCTCGTTCACAGGTTCGGAGAGCTCATCCGCAAACTATGGAATCCTCGTAATTTCAAGACTCATGTTTCCCCTCATGAGTTTCTTCAGGTATGTCTTGCTCATTCAAGTGAGGCTACTCACCATTATTTCCTTAACTGTCATTATCACGTGT